ATATATGGTTTTGTAGAGAATTTCAAGCACTATCTTTTGATAATAAAGAGAGCTTTAATTACAGGGATAATAGAGAAGAAATCTTAAAAATACTGAGAGGCCCATTCTTTCTGGGACACCCGATAATATTGCCCTGTGTTTTCCATTAGTATTGAACATTGAACTTGTATGGTGGTTTTGCAAAGTAATATCTAAAATGTCCTATGTTCAATGATATGATCTGATAAAGGCAGAAGTTTACCATGACAGCTATCTGTGTTTCCCTTTTTTTTCTCATTCAGAATGCTTAAGCAAGTTCTTGAATATATTTTTAGAACCAAATAAAACATGAGTAAACAAGTTATTTCATCGAATTTCATGCAGTGAGCATAGCTTTTATGCTTGATTAAAGATCTTGATCAAACTCAGGCGACCAACAGTAGCACATGCTCTTACAAGACATTTATATGGCAGTATCCCAATTTTCCGCTCTATAACGAAAAGTAATCAGCTCTTGATCGAATGAGCCTCATTTAGGATTTGCTTGTTAGCCACAAACCTGCATAAAAAGTGCCCTTATTAGCCTATTTGTTGCTAAAGGCGGTCTGTTTTCGTTCATGGATTATTTCTCATCATCTTGATGTCATATGCTGTGAAGATGATGAGAAAAGACCCAGAAATGAAAATGAAACCTACTTAACAACAAATAAGCTAATAAGACCACTTTTTTGTGTAGACTCATGGACAATAAGCAAACCGTGAATAATGCTTATTACGTTTGAGCATCGATCGATAAGTCATTCACACGGACTTTATTGTGCTTTCAGTACCAATGCATGAAGCACTGTCGAAGAGATAGCGAAATCATTATATTCTCATCTGAACTGAGACATCTAAACAGTCAAGGATAGTAAGCGAGCATGGTTCTATATGATATCGACTACAGTTTCTGACGAAGTTCTTCAAGATATTCTTGATTGTCTTTTACTTCCGAATGATCATTTCCGAATGCGCGCCGTGCAATGTCAACTGCATACTGTGCATGTTGAATAGCTTCCTCATATCGATGAAAGCCATCCAATGCTGTTGCTATGTTGCGATGAGTCGCGATTAACGATGGATGATTTGGTGGAAGAGATTTTTGTTTGATTTCAAGAGTCTTCTCAAGATATGAGAGTGCCTTCGAATAGTCTTTTCTCGATTGATAAATTCCGCTGATATTGCTGTAAGCAGTGGCCAACGAGGGGTGACGTGGTGGAAGATGAGCAAGCTTAATTTTGAGTGCACGCTCATAGTATTTTAGTGCTTCATCGTATTTATCTTGTCGTTTCAGCACAAGGCCAATATTATTGTAATGAGTGGCGATTTGAAGCTGATCAGACTCAGAGACATGAAGATCGATGTTGAGTGCACGCTGAAAGTATTCTAACGCTGCGTTAAGATCATCTTGTTTTTTGTATATACTCCCAATGTTCGAATAAGTCGAAGCGAGAGAAGGATCGTCCGTCGGTAGATAGGTCAGACTGATGTCGAGAGATTGTCTGTAATGAAAAAGAGCATTTGTTAGATCGCCCTTTTCGTCGTTAACGTATCCGAGTTGGTGATGACAGGCAGCCCTTGTTCGCGCATCATTATCCGGCGCTGAATCGAGTAGTGCTTGAGAGACTTCCTCGGCCTTGTCGAACTCGCCCATCTTGATCATCAATTGACTCAATCGGTGCCATCCTGTTCCCGATCCTATCTCTTTTCTTATGCGTTCAGCGAGAAGCTTCAACTGTGCATCGCTATTATCAGTCAATGTCAGTTTCACTTGCCACAAATCGTTTTCGATTTGTTCAATGTCACCAATTCGAAACACAGTATGCATTGAGAAAAGCACCTCTTTTTCCGAGTCCGAGTAATAACTAATGTTGTTCAACTGAGCAAAAGGTGTTGAAGTGAGCACAGGATTAATTTCCATTCGAAAGAGAATCGCTGTCAAATCAGGATTGTGTTGTGCAATTTTAGCGAATTGAAGAGAAATTTGTCGATCTGTACTTGTCGACAAGAAATTGTTGAAGGAAAGTAGCCTATCTTTGCTCTTTTTAATCCTTTCGAATTCATCATGTGACATACCTTGACCACGGTAAATAGTCAGCGAACGTTGTTTATCGGACGTCGAATAAATTTGTTCGATTTGTACATGTAGATCACGTATGAAAAATCCCATCTTAATAAGGATTCCAATGTCTTGAGTGCGAAGTGCTTTGTTCAACATCGAATAAGTGAAACATTCGCGAGTGTACCACCATATAGGCGAATGATGTTCATACTGTTCTTTGAATTCGTCGATGATCTTCAATTCGACAGTATTGTCACGGTATTGAATTCGGCAAAAGTCGACCAGTTCCTTTTTTATATCACTTTTGTACTTTAATTCTAGAAGAATCTCTTTGAGTAGTTGTGAGTACATGAATGATTGATCGAGCTCATTCAAGTCTTTGTTCGCCGAATTGGTTGCAGCAAGGATACTGATCGGTGTTAAATTGCTATAACATTGTTGAGTATCTCCTTTGAGCAAATGGCAAATGGGTTCAATCTGAGTGAAGACTGCTTTTACTTTACTCCATTCGTTTGCCCACAGTTCATGCTCTGATTTTTTGCTGCAAAACAAATAGATTGATTCGACTTTAGGCATGCATTAAATGTGTGGCACGATTGTTTCAGCAAAAGCATCCGATACGATCATAAATACTTTTTCATCTTTAACTTGAATTAGAAAATCTATACAAGAATTTATATTGGTGAATGTTTTTATTGCATTGACAATATGTCGTAGGCTATTAATAGATTTTTGGTAGTTGTTGTTGCTCTCATTTATGTTCGAATCTAACCAAATAACAATGAAATTCTCGATCGGACGAGTTAAAGGATACTGTGACGAGATGTTATTGCTCGTGGATTTTTCTTGTTTACTGGATTGTTTCGAAGTTGTAGCGTCACCTTGAGCGAGTTTTGGCATTTTCTTTGTCTTGTTCAGGGAGACAGCACTTGGTTTTAGCATAGTATTCAGTTGTTTCGTCGTAGTGGTATTCATTTTGTAATTTTTCTGCGCCATCCTACTGGATGATTCCGTTCTCTCACTGCTTTGTGTATTTTGTTGGCTTGGTCTGAACAAAGGTGATATCTTGTAACATGTGCTTTTTTCTATGTCATCTAAAGTTAAAATACACTTTTCACCACCTTCATCAATACTGTTCTGTTACTTTGCATCGCTCTTTTGTTGATGTTATGGCGATAAAACACGCAACCGTAGAAAGTAACGACAAGAAGCAGAACTCCATTGTCAACACAGAACAAAACTATAAATAAATCGAATGTGCATTTGCTCGCGTTGCGAAAGCAGTTCATGTGCAATAGCTTATCTGCCTCATAATTATGTTTTTCAGTCGAATATAAAATAATTTCCAGATCATCTCAATTTATTGAGTTTTATTAGATGGTACACTGTGTTACCAACGTTTCGTTGCACCTTAGTACAGAACAGACTAATAATTGCCCTATTAATCATCTAGAAGATGTGGTTAGTAGATTATTTAAGTCGAATTTTGAAAAAGAAGTATGCTTCGTAACTCACTGCATTTGTAAATTTTTTTTATACGAAACATTCTTCATATTGTATGCAAACGAATGTCATCAACACGAAAACTTGAGTAACTACAATCATATAGCTAACTTTGAAA